TACTCCCTACCATCATGGCGCCGCCTGGAACTCGCTTGTCATGCCTGTTACACATGCAAGAATTTTTTGCTTCTTGGTTTTGAAACCGCAAGCGCAATTTGTCTCCCACCCACCTTCCCTCGAAAGGGGTTTTTATTTTCCATTGTTTTCCTACGGGATGCAATTACTTCGGCTATTCTGTCAAGTTGAAAAATAATCATTTTTGTTTACCGCACAACAACCTCTAATTAGGAGCTGTGTGTGCACGAAGGTGTCACAGCAAAGCGACATGGAATCCTCGCTAAACGGTCCTAACGAACTCCTCCGTCCTGAACTGACAGGCCAACGGAAGCAGGCCAGGAGGCACGGAAGGCACGCACCCGTTGCCTGCCGGCCACCCCTCCCCAGGCAAGGCTGCCTGTAGGCTCACTAGGAGCTGTGGAGTGAGTGAATGGGGCAAGAAGCAAGCCAGTGAGGCGAAGGAGGGGTGAGGCTCCTCACTGGGGAAATGTGGAAAGGAAGGAATATCCATTTTGTTTTAATTTTCAACCATCACTCAAATCCACCCCCAGCTAATTAGGAGGGGAAACTGATATCTAAGGCAGAAGGGGGCGGTGGCAAGTGGGGCCTGAAATCCGCATTGGAGGTAGACTCCAGGGAACCGGCCGAAGCAGTGTAAATAAATGCAACGATAAGGGCTCCACAGTGACAGGAAACTGCTGGTGTCAGGAGAGCAAAGGCTGGAGGGCCAGGGAGGAGAGGGGCTGGAGGGCAGATGAGGCTTGCCTTCAGTCAGCCCCACAGACAGCGTCCCCTTTCCACCTCTGCCTCGGATAAAGCTGTGTCTGTCACATCCGCCTGGAAATCCACCCTTTCCCCCTAGTGCACGCCCCCTCCCCTAGCCCTTGCTCTCGGTTAGGGGGAGGGGGTCGAAGCCACGGCCTCCAAGAATTCAGCACCAAACTCATGAACAGCAAACACGGGATTCTCCACCCCAATCTGCCAGGGCTGGGTCCCCTCCATGTTTCAGTCAAGTTCAAAAATCACTGCCCCAAGAGAAGCAGGGGGAAGTGGGATTCCAGGGGTGGGGTGGAGGGAGGAGGAGAAACAGAATGAGGCAGAGACAGAAATGGAGGCAGCGAAACACACGAAATACTCCACGAGCAAGAGTTATGATCATAATCACGCCAATAGTGTGATGCTCTGATCAATATGGCGGACAGTGTCATTCATACAACTACAGGCGCTCCCCTTCCCTCCCCCAAAACACCCACCCCAGGAGTTGGGGTGGGGGACCCAGAACCAACGTAGGGAGTGGGGGAGGGGAGGCAAAACCAGGTCTCTGTGTGTGCACGAATTAAAAACCAGGCCTGGACAGCAATGTGGGTGAGCACGATAATAAAAACGGTATAAAAATTATTCTTAATAAAAGTACAAATCCCAGTGCCATAGGGACTTACTTCATCTGCTTCACAATGGTGCTTTTTCCTGATTCTCCAGCCCCTGTTGGGACAGAGAGGGGGGGGAGAAACTGGTGAGTGTCAGCTCAGGGGAATGGGAAGGGGGCTTCAAAGCATGCGAGGGGTGGGCGCTCCAGGGCACACAGTGGTGCCAACTCCGGGACCAGGTCTCCCGTGGGGCAAGTCCGGTGGGGGAACTGCGGCCAGGGTCGAGGGGCGGGGGTGGCTACCGAGGTCCTTACCCAGCAGGAGTAATTTCACGTCTTTGGCGGCGCTGATGCCATCTTCTTTGAGGTTTTTCTCAATCGCCTTGCTCCGCTCGAGGGCGGCTCTCTCCTCTGCGCTCAGAGTACATCCCATGGTGGCCCCTTCCCTGCCACAGCCCGCACGACTCGGCTGGCACGACTCCCCGGGTCGGCGCGCCCCCCACCCCCCCAAAGAGCAGAGCCTGGGCTCAAAGGGGGAAAAATCACGATATCCTCTCCTTGGCTGGGAACAAAATTGTCGAAAGACCAGAACCCCCCAAAAAAAGACAGCCTCTATCAAGATTCCAGCGGCGAAGACTAGCGGCGGCTGGCCGGGGTCTGGGGGTGTCGAGGTGAGGGTGGCCGGGGTCTGGGGCTCCGGAGCCGAGGGAGGAGGCGCCCGCGGGCCCGGGAGGCGCGGGCTGCAGGCACTGAGGCTAGTGCACGACCCAAAATAAATAAAATAGGAGTCGAGGCTGGATCCGCAGCCGGAGCCGGCGGAGGGTGGGGTGGGGGGCAGGGTGGGTCCTTCTGCCGCGGCTGCCGGAGGCGGAGGAGGAGGAGGCGGAGGCGGAGAAGGTGGAGGCGGCGGCGGCGCGGGGTGTGGAGGGAGTGAGTTAGGGGGTGCCGCTAGTGCATGTGCATCGCCGCTCCTCGGCCGTCGGTGCGTCCGCAGCGCCTTCTCCGACCCCCGCGCGCGGGGCAGGGCTGGGAAGGGGGTCGGGCCGGGGGAGGGGGCAGCTCTCTAGCGGGAGGCGGCGTCGCCGGGGCCCAGAGCTCGCATCGCTCGGCGGAGCGGAGAGGAGACGGGGAGAGCGCGAGGGAGCCGCGGCCAGCGGGGAGCGCGAGAAGAGGCGGGCAGGGAGGGGA